TGACAAAGCCCAGAAAGAGGCAACGGCTGATCAACAGCTGTAGATCAGACCCTACCTCTTTCTCCCGGTCTCTCTCTAGGCCTGATCTGCAGCCACCTCAGCAGTCAGTGCTGGGTCACTGCACCTGCACCAGCAGCAGTCAGTGCTAGGTCACCATGGCAACCCATCACTGACTGCAGAACTGACTTCGTGTTTGGTCGAGCCTTCAGTTGGTCATTACAGACCCTGGGTTTTTATATATTAGGATATTTGCATATGATTATAGAGGCATGGAGAAATGCAGAAAGGGTACACATGCCAGGTTGTAACACTAATGACCTGAGGGAGGGCAGGGAAGAGTGCATTTCCCATGATAGAGAAAACTAAATAAAACACCGTGAGACACTATAAAACAGGTCCTTAAGATCACATGTATGAAGTTGACTCATATGTATATATATATCCAAAAATACATGAAGATAACCTCACTAAAATATTGTTACTAAACAATATTGGCTTTCATCAACACATTAAGCCTAATGGATAAAGAGCCCCTACACATTCACTTTCACAGTATACATTTGGTTGTAAGAAAAAAAAAAAAAAATCCAACTCAAACTGGCTTCAACAAAAAAGGAATTTATTGGCTCTCATAAGAGAAAAGTGCAGAAATAATCTGACTTGTGTTCCAATTTGATGGAGGTTACAAATTGCTTCAGGGTTCCATGTTAGAATCCCTCTTCTTTTCTTGGTACTGCCCTCAGGCTGGCTCCTTTATGTTAAAAAAAAATTATCTGCAGCAAGGTCAGACATGAATCCTCATACCACACTATCTTCAAGAAGGTGTCTTCATCAGCAGTTCCTGAGAAAGCCTCAGCAAACATCGGTTAATAAATAGCCTGATCCAGGTAAGATGCCTATCTATCCCTGAACCATTTACTTTGAGTGTGTGTAGGGGGTGGAGAGGAGGCAAGGAGAGGAGGCAGCATGGCATTGTTTAAAATTAACTGGGTTAACTAGAGCTGAAAGCATGGCAGTGCCATCCAAACCACATGCTCAGTAATGGGGGGAGTGGGAGAAGAGGCGGTAATTATACAAAGAAATAGTGGGTGATATTGTGAGAGAAGGAAGTGGATGCTGGATGGGCAACAACATACACGAACAAGGAACTTATGCAATAAAATATTAAAAGTACTCAGTCTAAGTAGTTATCGAAGAAACATAAGTAAAATTACATAATTTATTGCTTATCAAGTTGATAAAAGAAATATTGTTTGTGTGTGATAGAGAGATGGTGAAGGGGCAGGACTGAAAATAGGAGCTCACACTGCTATTAAAAAGGTGCTTATCTACAAAGCTGTTTTAACTAAAAGGCATGTAAGCAAATTTCACCCCACAATTAGAAACATTACTGGTTTCTAAATATGAAACAAAAAGCTAACAACAAATAGTAAAATTCAGAGTCCCATAACATAACAGAAGTTGACTACCTTTTACTCCGCTCCAATCTGATAGATGTTTCCATGTTGGAAAAAATAAAGATCAGATTTCGTGGGTAAATCTATATTCTTTAGCTCCAAGTCTTGACTTGGCCTATCTATTTCTTTCTTTTACCTTCTTTCAACATTCCTAGACAAAACCCAGAATGAAGCCTATAGATGACTAATCTTGGCATAGCGGGGATCAGAACTAGTAAAATGTCTTCTGAAAACTGATTAAATCCTTTCACCCCATACCAACTTGGGAAAATACACGAGGAACAAGAAATTCCCTAAGTGTGATTGTTGAAATAGACCTCAATACATAGAAGCATAATGCTTGTATACTGAGAAGACTTGCAGTCTAGAATACCTACAGGATTGTACCAGTTCACTTGAAAGTCAGAAAAAATATACACTAAACTGTATTTAAAGATATTACAACTATGAGGTAGATCTGTGCCATCCCACAGGTAGAATAGTGGCATAAGAAGGATGCTCTTACAAGCTATGGGGCCAGTTCCACACTTTGTACAGAATCATGTATATTTAAGTATGCAAACTACAATGAATCAAAATGAAGTCCAATTACAGTGCACTCAATTAGAAAATCAACACCAAGTGTGAATTTAGATGACAATGAGTGAAAATATTTCCCTTCACCCTGGCAGAATTGGATTTTGAACAAGACTGTTCCTGAATTTTTCTCAAATCCAGTTACAAATTGGAAGTTAAGGTGCCATAAGTCCCCTGACATTGTACTATTCTAAGTCAGAAATTTTTATTCCAACCTGAGAAGATAAAATAAGAGACAACTTACTTCACTGCCTTAACTTTTTGGTTAAATGACTTACAGATGGCTGGTTTACATCAATGGGATTTATTACATAACCCAAAAATCTGAAATATTTCTATTATACATAAAAAAGAATAAGAAATAGGAAAACTCTCAACCCTGCTGAAACTAGTCACAGCAAAGGGAGCAGTGGTCAAGAACATGGATTCAACAGTGAAGTTGCCTTAACTGCAATTCAACTCCATCATGATTAGCTCTATGATCTTTGGGAAGTTACCTAACATATTTGTGGTTTCATTATCCTCATTTTTTTCTTTACTGATTTCAGAGAGGAAGAGAAAAGGAGATAGAGAAACATCAATGATTAGAGAAAATCATTGATCCGTGCCTCTTGCACACCCTCAACTGGGGATTGAGCCCGCAACCCAGGCACGTGCCCTTGGCCGGAATCAAACTGGGATTCTTCAGTCCGCAGGCTGAAGCTCTATCCACTGAGCCAAGCCAGCTACAGCTCATTATCCTCATCTTTAAAGAAGAGTACCAACCAATCTCTTAAGGTTGCTGTGAGATTTCATGAGATAATCCAGCACTTAGAACAGCAGTTCACACAAAGGAAACTTACAATAAATGCTATTATTCCATATTAGGAGTAATTGTGTATATGTTTGTTTAGGTCTATTTCTGTATTCCAAGAACTCAAACACTATATCCTAATTGTTCTAATTTGCAATATCTGCATAAAGCACTTTAATATTTCAAATGCGTGGAAAATAAAAATTAACCAATTCCTTTCAGTGACTAATTTTAGATATTACAACTACTTCACTTAGAAAACCTCCACTATGAAACAATAAGTTTGCAACAAAATAGTAAAAGGAAAGCCACAGACTACCGTAGAATTGAATAACACTACATTCAGAGGTTCTTCAGCTGGTGAGAGTAATAGGTAAATGGATAATACTTTCTGAACAAATACATCTAGGGAAAGCAGGCTATATTTATTCAAAAACTATAAAAGGTTACAATATAAATCAAACAAAATTAGTTTTTAAAAGTTAAGTGACTCATGTATCCAAATTCTGATCAATTCAAGGCAATAATGCAATGTACAGAAAGATTATTATATAGCCCAAAGGAGTAAAAAGCAATAAACAGAAATGCCTTATCAATACAGATACTACATGAATATACAAATCTACAGTTTTAACAGAACAAAAATCCTAAGTACATGTGTTGGCTACCTTTTTCCAAATTAAAATAGTAAATGTTTTATACTTGATAAAAACGTATATACCGTACACAACTTTTAATCACATGTAATGAGGTCTAACAAGTGTGAATAAAGCAGAATATAAGGTTTTATGTGGAGGTGGACATTTCAGAAAGAACCCAACTTCAAATAAATCTACTATCATATATATATTGCAAAGATGATCCACAAAAATGTTTATCCTTTACAACAGCATACAGAGAACAAAATGCCCAGAAATTAATATCAGAATTGTACTGTGAAGGGTATTAGAGTGACTGACTTATCTGAAAAGACAAACTACTTATTTGGGAGCATAAATAGCAGAGGTCAATGTGAATTAAATAACATGAGTAAAAGAAAGCATATAATGTACAATAGCTAAGGTTAGAAAACTGAATATCGTGGGAAAGATTTATTAGTCTGTACAAGTTGGTTTTAATAAAATATTGACTTGTTACAATAAATAACCAAGATTTTCACTGCAACACTATTATCCCATAAACATCAAAATCTGGAAGCAATATGACTTTCTCAAATTGTCATATAGTGTTTTGTTTTTTTTATCCCAACCCTCAAAATACAGACATAGGTTTTTGAATATCAACAAACCATTTATGGAAGTCATTAGATACAGCTATTCATAAACATTACACAGCTACAATTGGAGGTACCGGGACAAACACTACCAACATTTATAGAAAAAGGTGTTGGTTTCAAAGTGTAAGTATTAACATGAGTCACATAAACACACTATTCATGTCTTTCCAAAACCAAAATGGGAAAAACCTTATTGCCATTCTGCCAAACACCCACTGAAAATGCTGCACTAAGTGTCTTGAATCCAATGTACATATCACAGAATTAAAACTCTAGTTAAGCAACTGAGCTATTCATTGAAATTAAAAAGATCAAACTTCTTTAACATATCAATGCTATTTTAGAAGCATCATCAGAACAGAGATTTAATTATAAATTGGCCTGGATTGCATCCTATAAAGAGAATTTTGCTTAGTACCAAAAGAGAATCTGTCAGCAAACATCCTAGGGAAAGCTGTGGAATCATGCTCTTTGTTATTTTTGAAGAAACTCACCAGGTTGGATACCTGTAATCTCTCAGCAGTTCTAGGAGTTCTACATACCAATTAATTCAGTAATTGATAGGAGTATTTAAGCAAAAAGACCAAAAGTAGACCTTGTTCTCACATATATTAGAGAGGTGGATTTTTAAAAATCACATGATAAATGTAAATCATAAAATCAAGTGTACTTATAAAGGTACACCAATTTTATGTTACATAAAAAACTGTAGGCTGCAAACTGTGCATGCTTACCATAACATTTTACCTGGGAAAGCCAATGAGTGAGATTTCTTGTAAATACTTATGCCATGATACAAAACAAATATGTGCAAACTGCAAGGTCCCTAAAATAGCAGTTTAAGAGTTTATATACAGAAAGATGTCACTATCTGATCAAATATGGCATTTCCCAGAGTCTATAACACAGAACAATAACCTCCACAGGCTCCTCCATGGCCTTCTTCCCTGTGTGACAGTTTGACTCCTTTATTCTGGTTCTCACTTTCCCACAGTCCAGGCGTCTGAATGATCTTTTCAACAAGTTCCTCAAAGGCACACTGTACACCATCACACGTTTTTGCACTTGCCTCTGAAATTCAAGGGAAAATGTCATTTTTTTATGTATATTAAGTACATTCCTTCTGATCCTACACCTATGTTTTTATGGGAAATTATTATGGAATATAGGTCAGCCTATAATATGTAAAGACCCAAATCAATAATTCCCCCCCAACAGGTTTAATATTAGTGAATTTCCTCAAAGCCTCAGTTCCTGTCAGCTTTACTATTAAAGCGTCTCCCAGATTAGTTAACTTTCCACCACCTGCCAAAAGCCACAGTCAAAGCCACCAGCTTCATTCATCTGGACTACTGTATTGTAAGAGAATGACTAGCCTCTTGCTTCTGCTTTCATGGTCCATTTTCTACACAAATGGGTCCTTTTAAAAAAAGAGTATCAGACCACAGCACTATTCCCTTGCTTTCCACCACACTTAGAATTAAAAAACATTTATTTACCATATCCAGTGAGGTCCAACATGACCTTTTTAAATCCCAGCTCCCATTATCACCAACCTTCTCCCAACACACACTGCTCAAGCCAGTGCTTTCTTCCTGTTTCTTAAATACACTAAACTGGTTTCTACTTACCTCAGGAAATATCTGCTATTCTCTCAGCCTGAAATGCTCTCCTCCTAGGTCTTCATATGTGTGATTCTTGCTTAAATGTAATGTCATTGCTTTACAGAACTCTGCCTAACCAGTTCCCACACTGGTCATTCTCTCTCTCCTAACGACGTTTTTTTTTTTCTTTCAAAGGATTATTTACTTATTTAACTATTTCCTATATTAAATCATAAGCTTCATGAAAACAGGGAGTTCATTCTATTCATTATATCATCAGTGGCCAATCAATATTTAATAAATAAATGAATAAATGTTGAAATGAAGGACTCCCAGCTAGTAAGCAGTAGAGGAGTACTCAGTTCTTTTCTAAAACTCCCTATACCTTTCACTTACATCACCCTGCTTCTACCTATATATAATGTGCTCCCATATTAATTTATTGATTCTTAGGCAATTCTAACACTATGGACTAAATTAGTAATTCCTAAAGCTGACTTCACATTAGAATCAACTAGGGTGTTTTTTTATATATTGCCTTCTAGGCCTTCTTTAAAACCCATGACAAGGCCCAGGGGCCTAGAATTTTAAAAAGCTCTGCAGGTGCTTCTGATACAGGCGGTCCACTTTTCTAGATGAGGAGGTCAGCAAACTTTTTTTGTAAAGAGCCAGATAATAAGTATTTTAGGCTTTGTAGACCATGGTTTCTATTGTAACTGAACTCTGCCATGAATCCAAAAGCAGCCATAGACAATATGTAGAAACCTGAGGGTGGCTGTATTCCAATACAAATAATGGGGCCAAATTTGGCCCCTACTGTAGTTTGCCAAACCCTGCTCTACCATGCTTCTGAAATATTAATGTGCACGCAAATCCCATGAAGATTTTATTAAACTACAGATTCTAATTCAGAAAATCTGGTTATAGCTTGAGATGAAGCATTTCTAGCAAGCTCCCAGGTGGTGCCACTGTTGCCAGCACATGAACCAGCAAAGTACAACTTTAGCACAGGGAGCATGGCTTTATTGAATGGCATTACATCCTAAGAGGAATAATTTGACAGTGTTCTGTATGACTTCATATAATGAGATCCTATTTTTTATTATAAAAGGAAAAATAAAGAATCTGATTCTATAGTTAGATTTTGCAGCATGAGACAACTATGAACTAAATACATCTAACCTAATAATAGTGATATGCAAATTAACCATCACTCTGCTACACAAGCCACACCCACCAGCCAATCAGAGTATGCAAATTATCCCAACAAAGATAGCAGTTAATTTGCATATGCAGAGGGAGGGAGGAATGAAGACTGAAGACAGCATAGAAGGAAAAGGGAGGAAAAGTGGAAAGCAAGGCGGCTGCGGTTGGTGGAGGGAAAGCACTGGCAGCGCATACAGGGCAGGGTGGGGCGGGGTGCGCAGCAGCAGCAGCGTTCACAGCCCCAGAGGTGGCAGCAACAGGCGAGGCCCCAGAAGCAGTGGGAGCGGTGGGTGCACAGCCCGAGTGGCCATGGGCGCCGTGGGGCGGGCGCAGTGGAAGAGGTGGAGGTGGCGGGAGGGAAGCCTGCCAGAAGTCTTGCAGAAATATTCCTGCAACAGGTGCCTAGTCTATTTATAATAATAAAAGTATAATATGCTAATTAGACTGACCATCCTTCTGGACAACCTTCCAGATGAAGCCAGGGCTGCAAGGGAAGCCCAGGTCCCGGGTGCCAGGGGAAGCCACTGCAGATAGCAGGGAGAAGGAAGGCCTACACTTGCACAAATTTCGTGCAGCAGGCCTCTAGTATCATTTATAATTCATTGAGAAAAATTTAACAGAAATTCCACTTTTAAATTGCTCTTTAACAAGTAAATGATAAATATTCACACACCTACCTATAAATAACATGGAATGCTTTCGTGCAAATTTTAGGCCTTCGTTTCTATCAACTTCACGATTTTCCTAAAAAATAGATTCAAAGATTTTAAAAAACTACCAAGACACAGAGAAAAATGCCAACTGTCTAACTTCTTACCTTATCAATTTTATTTCCAACTAGCATGTTTACTATGTCATTTCTTGTGCAGTATGTCTCCAATTCATTTAACCAATTATCCAGCTTAACAAAGGTGTCTCTTCGTGTGACATCATAAACTGAAGTAAAAAGAGTCATTTATTAAATAAGCATTTAAAAATAAGAGCAATGATATCATATTTTTATATGAAAATAGGAACTAACATTACTATATAGGAAAATCTGAGTGTTTTTTTTAAGTCTTTTATACTTAACAATCAGTATCTACTCATCCAAAAGAAGCAACAAGTACATGAAAAAAAATACAAACACATTTCAATTTTATTAACACATACTGTAAGAGAAATTAGTTATATCCTGTGTGATAACTGAAAATTAATTTAAGTAAAACAACTGCTACCCCCATTCATAACAATAAGAAAATTAAATCTGTACAAAAACAGTGTTTTGGTTCAAATCTGTGGCAAAATATCAAAAACTTTACATGAATGTGTTAATTTGTTTCTTACAAAGACCAGAATTTGAAAACCCAAGTAAAATTAGTACATGGGATCCTGATTGTCTTCCTGTTATCACTTTCACATTATTCTGAATTATTGTAAGTAAAGAGTTTTATTAATTTACAGTATTTTCTAAACTTAGGAGATGCTAAAATCAAAACAATAAGACTCACTGTCAAATTAATATAAGTAAAACCAAAGCCTCAAAAGTCACAATATGAAAGAATTCTCCCTACAACTGGTCAATATTCATTTCAAACCATTTCCCAGGAGCATTAAAAACACTTTTAATGCAAGCCTGCAAGATAGAGCAGCATCTGAGGTGTAGGTGTAAGTTCTGCTGCTCCAGAGCCTGGCCTCCAAACCTCCCAGCCCAGGATAGCATCTGTCAGCTCTGGCCTGGCTCTATCACAGGAATGTCGTTGATCATTATGAAAATCCCAGAAATGTGGAATCTTTTGACAAGACATCTAAAAATGTTGGAGGACCTGTGGGGCTCCAGCATGTGGTGATGTAATGAAATTACAGATTCAAGTGGATCAAAAGGGGAAGATCGTGGATACCAATATAAAACATTTGGCTATGGTTCTGCAACTGCCTCCAGCTCACTGGCCACTGAACAGCTGACAAGGAAGACAGTGAAGGAAGCCTTGACTATCAAAAACACAAACATCATCAAGGAACTCTGCTTTCTCCCTATGGAACTGCACTATACCACACTGGCTGAAGATACAATCAAGGCCACCCTGGCTAATTACAAACTGAAATAAGAATCCAAGAAAGGCAAGGTGAAGAAGGAAGAGTCCTTGGCAAAGCTTCCAGCATGACATATCAGCTGCTAGCCCACCAGTCATGCAGTAAACATAGATTTCAAAAGCCCTCACACACTACAATAAAAGAGCTATGTGATTACCATAATACCCACATTTGTGGCTCTACTGCAAGCAAAATACAGTTTAATTGTTCTGAATCCTGTGGTTTCTTCAGCCCAGTTTTATCATTTTAACCCAATATGTGTATGTTTTGTATTGTTTGTATGGCCTTAAAACTGAAATCAGTAAGTCTCAAGTTTTGATAGTACATGAAATGCACAAAAATTTATTTTACCTGAATCTACTTTGGGGAACATTTCCATTAGAACTCCTTAGTATGGTTATTTGATAGAACTAAGTATTATACATGAAACAGATCTGCATATATCTATACTAATAAAAAAATTATTATGCTAATTAAACCAAGCCGACCAGACATCTTCTGGATGTCCAACTTTCTTCCAGATAAAGCCACAGTGGCAGGGGCTGAGGCAGAGGCAGTCAGGGGCGATCAGGCTGGCATATGAGCAATTAGGGGGTGATCAGTCCGGCAGGAAGAGGCAATTAGGGGTGATCAGGCAGGCAGGTGAGCAGTTAGGAACCAGTGGTCCTGGATTGGAGATAGAGCAGGCCGGGCTGAGGGACCATCCCCAACCTCTGCACGAATTTCATGCCCTGAGCCTCTAATATAATAAATAAAAAATGTAAGCACAAAAAATAAAGGACAAGCACTTTTTAATAAGTTACAAGAATCCACATTTGGTTTTTCAATTTTGTGTGATTATAAATCAATAGTGTTAAGGGCTTTGGGCTATTTTTTTATGACTAATAAAATGCCACTCATTGAAGATCAGTTTCTGGTACTACTCTGAAACCAACTATGGATCAATCTTCAATTATTTCCTTATTAACATGTACTTTTAAGTCTAATAAATTAGTCTGATCTTTATTTTTCAATTGCTTGACAAAGGATTAAAAATAAGTTTTGAAAGTTCTGTTCCCATTGCAATTAGCTAATATTAATAATAGGAAAGAGGCAAAGGGAAGGCCAGACATTATGAGCATGGTCATCTGGGCAGCTTCACCAGAAGGCTGCAACTTTACACATCCCAGGGAACCACCATTCCACACAGATCACCAAGGGAAGGGTCCAAAAAGGGGAAGATGCACGTCAGGGAGTGGGGAAGATGCTTGTCTGTCAGCCTAACCTGGGAACAAAAATAATTGGCCAGAGGGGAGGAGGCAATGCAAGCCCACAAAAATTTGAGAATACATAATCCAAAGACAAATAATTATCTCTTTCTTGTGCTTCTGGCTTTGCTCCTGCTTCCTTGCACTCACCATGTAATCTCATGTGGCCCTAGAAGCCATGTGAACCCCACATCCAATGGACTGCAGCTGGCAACACAAGCTAAACTAGCCAGATGCTGGAGTGAACTTGCAAATATAGAATGGAGATTCTGAGTATTGGCTTTAATCCTAGCATTGCTAAAGATAAGATTGGACTTTACCATGGCAAGATAGATGGAGATGAGACCTTGGAAACACAATATTTAATTCCACAGAAATAAAACTTTCCACAAAAATTCATCCTCCTATGGGGAGCTCAGGAAATTCTTATCCCAGAAGCACCCCCATCCTAGCCAGTTTGGCTCAGTGGATAATGGCCTGTGGTTTGAAGGGTCACAGGTTTGATTCCAGGCAAGGACACATGCCCAGGTTGCAGGCTCGATCCCCAATAGGGAGCATGATTCTCTCTCTCCACTGATGTTTCTGTCTCCCTCTCTCTCTCCCTTCTTCTCTGAAATCAATAAAAATATATTTTTAGAAAAGCACCCCAAGAAGCCCACTTCCATGGGCAACAGGTGGGGACACAGGGAGCACCTCACCAATAACCATCTCAATATTCATTAAGATTAAATAAAGTTAGCACAAGGTCAAGTTACACAAAAGTAGCCCTAGAGAAAAATAAAAACGTATTCATCTTCACAGATATGTATAATAAACAACATTTTAAAAATAGTATATTAAAGTAAAAACTTACCTAATATAACACCCTGTGCACCTCTATAATAGCTGGGAGTTAATGTTCTGAACCTCTCTTGACCAGCAGTATCCTAAAAGTGACAATCAATTACTATTAAATAAAAAAAGTATAAATTAGAGACATCCAAAACACTAAGTTAAGAGTAGAAAGTAAACAGCATTATTAAAATTAATGCACAAACAGATTTAAATTTGAAATTTAAATGTGTTCTCTTAATGACAAATGTTACCCTAATATATAAAAACCCTGGGTTCATAACATCCAAAACAGCCAAAAGTTCTACCGACCAGATATCAGTGCTGGGTTGCTGGTGCTCTTACCCAGTACTGACTACAGATCAGATAGGACTGGAAAGAGAAGCAAGGTCTGATCCATAGCCTCCGTGCAGTTGTTGATCAGCCTTTGCCTCTCTCATTTTCTTGAGGCCAGACCAGCAGCCATGCCTCTCTTTCTCTTGGGCCTCCGCTAGGGCTGCTGATCAGCCCTGCCTACCTAATCAGGCCTACTGATAGGCCCAGAGACAGTGATGGCATTGAAAGTGACCAATCAGAACCAAATCTAGGTGAAGTGCAAGGAGCCAATGGCTGCCTAGAAGGCAGAGCTTTTGATGCTGACTGGAATAGAAACTGACCAATCAGAACCAAATCTGGGTGAAGCATGAGGAGCAAATGGCTGCCTAGGAGGTGGACCTTTTGATGTTGACTGGCATAGAAACCAACCAATGAGAACCAAATTGGGTGAATGGCGAAGGCAGAACCTAAGGTAGGGGCTGAGGAGGGGTTTTAAGGGCAATAGCTGTTTGGTGTAAGGTGTAAGAAAGCAGTTCAATTTTTTAATGAGCAGTTTGGCAGTATAATGCATATGGCTAGGTATCAGTAAAGATATATATATATTATGTATTTTTGTCTGCCAAGATTATCTCCTCCTGCTGAAAAAGGCTTATCCCCCCATTTAAGCAATCCTATCCTATATAATCTATCTGTACTAATAATATATACTAATAAAAGGGTAATATGTTAATTAGACCAGGTTGACCAGCCATTTTCTAGACATCTAATTTCCTTCCAGACAAAGCCATGGTGGTGGGGGCCAAAGCAGAGGTCATTAAGGGCAATCAGGCAGGCAGAGGAGGGCTGTTGGAGGTGAGAACAGGCCAGCAGGGGAGGGCAGTTGGGGGCAAGATCAGGATGGCAGGGGAGAGCAGTTAGGAGTGATCGGGCAGACAGAGGCAGTTGGGTGCGAGATCAGACTGGCAGAGGAGAGCAGTTGGGGGCGATCAGATAGGCAGGCAGGGGGGTTAGGGGCAATCAGGCAGGCAGGCAGAGGTAGTTAGGGGTGATCAGGCAGGCAGGCAGATAAACGATTAGGAGTCAGCAGTCCCAGACTGCAAGACAGATGTCCCACAGAGATCAAGCCTAAACCGAAGTTCATACATCCTCCAAGGAGTCCCTAATTGGAGAGGTGCAGGTTGGGCTGAGGAAACCCCTCCCCTCCTCCCATGCACAAATTCCATGCACCGGGCCACTAGTCTCTATATATAAAAGCCTAAGCGACCATTATAGCCAGATTACCAGAAGACCGGCCATAGCTATGATGTGCACTGACCACCAGGGGGCAGATGCTCAATGCAGGAGCTGCTCCCTTGTGGTCAGTGTGCTCCCACAACCAACCTCCTGAGGCTGGTCAACCTCCCATGGTCCCTCCTCCTGGCCAGCCGGCTGGTCCCAACCAGCCCAATCACCAGCCAGGCCGAGGGACCCCACCTATGCATAAATTCGTGCACCAGGCTCTAGTATTAAATAAAATTAATTGCCGACTCATCTCAAAAATACACCTAAGTAAAGGTGTTCTACCACTTCGGATTTAAGATTTTTATCAGTCATAAAACCTATTTCATTGAAAGCTATGGTTCTCAACTTTGGCTGTGAAATGAAATTTCCTGGATAATAGGTTCCAACCTACAAATATTCTAATTTGATTGGTCTAGTCTAGGGACTAAAGGAAGTTTTTAAGACCTTACCAAGTGATTCTAATATAAAATCAAGGTTGAGAACCACTGGTTTAAAGAGAATTACAGGAGTGTCTTATTTTAGGTAAGAACTTTTAAGTTGGACTTTTTAAAGTGTCTTCTATATATTTTCTTTTAGGAAAATGGATAAAACCAAACCACTCATTTCTGACTCATGCTAGGGATGAGTACACTGTACACTAATAGGACATTAAGATTTCATGAGGAAGGAACCTCATCTGCTTAAACACCAGTATAACCCAGTGCCTAGAGAAAGTCCTGCCACTGGATAGCTGCTCAACTTCTGTTGGGAGAAAACAAAATGAAAAAACTAATTAACAAGTCTCTACTTCCAGGATGGTTCCTTTTGCCTTCTTTCTACTATCTTTGGGTGTGGCTTCAAGGTAACTAAGATTATGCAAAGTAGGAGCTGGCAATCTCTGCCTCCGCTCACCATGTGTTTTATTATATAAGGTTTTATAAAACCTGAACACAGCCAGTCCCATTTTACTCATGTACTTCCATATGGTCTACTTTTATGGGAAACTTTGCACCAGAAAAAATAGGGGTTGAGGGACTGTGTGATAGGGTTAAAGGATCAAGAAGTACAAATTGGTAGTCACAAAACTGTCACAGGGATGTAAAATACAGCATTGGGAATATAATCAATAATATTTAATAACTATGTATGGTGCTAGGTGGGTATTAGGAAAAAGTGTGGAACATTATAAAGTTTATGATTGTCTAATGACTATAATGTATGACTGAAACTAATATAAAATAACTAGAGGCCTGGTGCACAGATTCATGCACCTCTGGGGTCCCTCGGCATAGCCTGTGGGGATTGGGCTGAAACCACCAGTCCAACGCTGCCTGCCACTGCTGCTCATCCTGGTCCCACTATGCCTGCTGCCGCCGCTGCTCAGTAGGCTCACTGCCACTCCACTGTAGTCTCCAGGCTGCAGCGGCCAGCCATGAGCCCTATGTCTAATGCCCATCAGTCAGCTGAGCAGCACTTACACTCCTAAGTTGAGCGTCTGCCCCTGGTGGTCAGTGTGTGTTATAGCGACTGGTTGACCAGTCATTTGGTTGCTTAGGCTTTTACATACGTGTGTGTGTGTGTGTGTGTGTGTGTGTGTGTGTACATATTGTCTAACGACTATTCACACATACACACACACACACACACCTACATATACATATAGACTAGAGGCTCGGTGCACGAATTCATGCACCAGTGGGGTCTCTTGGTCTGGCTTGTGGAATTGGGCCAAAACCGGTTCTCTGACACGCCCCAAGAAGTCCCAGATTGCAAAAGGGTACAGGCCAGGCCCAACCTGTGCATGATCGGGGCCAGGGAGGGATGCAGGAGGTTGGCCAGCTAGGGGGGGCCTGCAGGAAGGCTCCAGGGTTTGTCTTGACCATCTCACTCAGTCCCGATTGAATGGACCCTAGCAGCAAGCTAACCTACCAGTTGGTGTGTCTACCCCCCTGGTGGTCAATGCACATCATAGTGACTGGTCAACCAGTCGACTGTCAGTCCCCTGGTGGTCAGAGCATGTCATAGTGACTAGTTGACTGGTCAACTGCCCCCTGGTGGACAGTGCATGTCACAGCAAGCGGTTGAGCAGCCTTAGCATATCATTAGCATATTATGCTTTGATAGGTTGAATGGAAGATCAGACGACTGGACACTTGGAATATTAGGCTTTTATTATATAGGGTAATTAATGTAAACTAATTAGAAAATATAATTTAAAAGGTTTATAGTCTGATAATGTAAAGTATCCTGAAAAAAGGGAAAGCTGTATATTAAATGTCAACTTAGCTACCAGCCCCATGGTTGTAAACTCAAATTTAGCTATGGAGCAAACAGAAGCTAGCTCCTTTACATATAAACAGTGCTAATAACCTCTAAGAGGTTTAGAAGGTCGAGAAAAATTTTAAACCAGCAGTGACAGGGTCTGGCAATAACTAGTTTCTTTCCCTGGCTACAGCAGACAATGCTTTAAGAAAATAAAATAAGGTAAAGAGTGGTTTGTGGTAATTTATAGCCCAGAAGAGAAACTTAGGAAAATAACTTTGATGTAAACCACTCTGCACATTCATTGCTCTGCCACAGATAAACTTAAATAAATGTAGAATATCCTTGGCTTCAGATTCTCACCACTATAGAAACTGGCCCTCCCTTGCCCCTGCTTGTTAAAGTAAAAAAGTAACAAAGTTAAAATTAAACTTTCTAGCTCTGACCATTGTGGCTCAGTTGGTTGGAACATCATCCCATATACCAAAAGGTCAAAGGTTTGATTCCCAGTTAGGGCACACACCTAAGTTGTGGGTCAATACAGGAGACAACCAATGTTTCTCACACTGATGTTTCTGTTTCTCCCTCTCCCTTTCTCTCTTTCTAAAATCAATTAAAAACAAAAAAAACAAAAAAAATATGTCCTCGGTTGAGGATTTTTAAAAAAAATTAAATTTCCTAAAGAAATAAATTTATGATGAAAAACTAATTTCTCTTTACAAAAGTTCTCCTTGCTTCAAAATTTCTTATAAAACCTGCCTCTAATATTTAAAATCATTCAATTTTCATGTTTACTCTCAAAACAATATTTAATTAAAAGCGGCATCAAGTGAAGTGTATTTACTATCTAATACAGTTTATAATACTGACAATGTGATATAGATCAGGGCAAAAACCAAGCATGAAATGTTTTTATCCAAAGACTTTTTGTTATTACAGGAAAATGTCATTCAATTTGCATAATGAAAATACCCACAATTTAATAATTAATTTCTAGAACTAGCAGAAAACCAAACCTTTGGTCTTCACTGAGATCAACTTCAGTAACTGCCTTAATAAAACACAATATAAAAATCAGAACTGCAATTCCAGTAAATTCTGCATGAAGTTCAATGTTTTAAAAATAAAGACTGTAGCAAAAAATAATTTAGTGTTAAAATATTACACATGATTTTGACACTTTAAATGTAAACATTTAATTAGATCAGATGTTTTGAGTCTTGACATTTTTTATTCACCATAAAAATATTTGCATAGCTCTAGCTAGTTTGGCTCAGTGAGATAGAGCGTCAGCCTGCATGTGAACTGAAGGGTCCCAGGATCAAATTGGATCAAGAGTACATGCCTGGGTTGGGTAGAGGGCATGCAGGAGGCAGCCCTGGCTAGTGTGGCTCAGATGGTTGGACATCATCCTGTTCACTGAAAGCTTGCCATTTTGACTCCTGGTCAGGACACATACCTAGGTGGCAGTTTCGGTCCCCGGTAGGGGCCACTATGGGTGGCAACTTATCAATATTTCTCTCATACATCAATGCATCAATGTACTCTCTTCCCCCCCACCCTTTTGTATGTCTAGATCAACAAAATATGTCTTTAGGTAAAAAGAGAAAGAAAGATGGAGAGACATAAACAAACCCAAAGTTGGTAAATTCTAATTTTATAAATATTTATACTAATAAACATGAAAAATTATTTTTTCTAAGTATGACGCCATTCCCCTTCACCCCTGTAACTCTCTTTAATGTTATGTTAGCTCAGTCTAAGCTGCCTTTTTAGAACTTTAAAGAAATACATTTAATAACAATGATTCTGACAGGCAAGATGGTTTTTTAATATTTTGTTCTATTTTTTGGTATTCAGAAGGGACTATATATTTTAAATTTTTTAAGTAAAATAAATCTCCACCTAGTTATCCAATGATAACTATTTATTGCTTATCTTTAATCAACATATTTCCCAAAAGATCTCAATAACACTACACATATCAATATCTGCTTCTTTAAAAAGTACAGTTTAATATTCATAGAAATACAGTTTAAAAACTCTTACCCATATTGCAAGTTTAGCCTTATTTCCATCCACTGAAATTGTTTTCACCTTAAAGTCAACACCTTGAAAAAAATAAAAATTTTGGTAAGAATCCCAGTAAAATATATTTTTAAAATAATTACCTATAAAAAGTCACTTTATCAAATGCCTAATTTACACCCCAAGTCCTTAGAATTATGGATGTAAAGATAAAAGAAAAGTATCAGTAAATTTCAGTACCTTAGGATAAACGAAAACCATATGCTTAAAAAATTCAAACACTGACCTACCTTTACTTTTTGAAAAAATAAAAATGTTATTGAAAAAATAAAATTCAGTATAAGGTGGGCATTAAATATGCACATTAATAGCCAAGAGTTAGAATATTCATGGTGCTAATGGAGAAAAGACTATCTATGGCTGACTATGGAGCCGGGCAATTTTCAGAAGCTCCCAAAGAAACTACATACTTATTAAGAGCACTGTTCATAGCTGACCAACCCCTTAACTCGGATTCTGTAGGCAACTTGGGAGGACTGGTAAAAATATAAAAAAGGATTCACTCCTTGTCTTGTAAATTCTTTCTTTGTTTTTATCCTATGAAACAGTATTAGTTTTATATAACCTTATCAATGATTACTTGCTACTGCACAATTTCCAAAAGACAATTTACACACTAAAACATTTGTGCCCAACCCATTAAGAATCTTCATATGCAAAATTTATCTGGAATAAAAAAAGACCCTGAATAGCTGTAGAAGAACAAAGTACGAGGGATCTCAGTAAGAAGAACAAAGTAGGAGGGATCTCAGTACCAGATATCAAACTATATTACAAAGCCACTGTTTTCAAAACTGCCTGGTACTGGCACAATAACAGGCACATAGATCAATGGAATAGAATAGAGAACCCAGATATCGGCCCAAACCACTATGCTCAATTAATATTTGACAAAAGGAGGCAAGAAATACAATGGAGTCAAGACAGTCTCTTCAATAAATGGTTTTGGGAAAACTGGACAGATACATGCAAAAAAATGAAACTAGACCACTAACTTACACCATACACAAAAATAAACTCAAAATGGGTAAAAAACTAAAACATAAGACAGGAAACCATAAAAATATTAGAGGAATCCACAGGCAGCAAAATCCCAGACATATGCCGAAGCAATTTCTTCAACAATAAAGCACTTAGGGCAATGGAAATGAAGGAGAAAATAAACAAATGGGACTATATCAAAATAAAAAACTTTTGCACAGCAAAAGAAACCATCAACAAAACAACAAGAAAGCCCAATGCATGGGAGAACATATTTCCCAATGTTATTATCTATAAGGGTTTTTAATCTCCAACATTTACAGGGAACTCATATAACTTAACAAAAGGAAGATACAGGATTCAATAAAAAAAAAAATGGGCAACAGACCTAAATAAATACTTTTCAAAAGAAGACATAAGGAAGGCTAAGAGATATATGAAAACATGCTCAAAGTCACTAATCATCCAAGAGATGCAAATCAAAACAATGCAGTACCACCTCAAACCTGTCAGAATGGCTATCATCAACAAATCAATAAATGACAAGTGCTGGCAAGGATGTAGAGAAAAAGGAACCCTCCTGCTCTGCTGGTGGGAATGCAGACTGGTGCAGCCACTGTGGAGAACAGTATGGAGTCTCCTCAAAAAACTAAAAATGGAAATACCATTTGACCTAGTGATCCCACTTCTAATAATATACCCAAGAAACTAGAAACACCAATCAGAAAGGATAAATGCACCCATATATTCATAGCGGCACAATTTCCCATAGCTAAGATTTAGAAACAGCCTAAGTGCCCATCAGCAGATGAGTGGTACATCTACTCAATGTACATCTACACTGTGGTTAAAAAAAAAAAAAAAAAAAAAAAAAAAGGAATTTTTACCATTTGCAACAGCATGGATAGAACTGGAGAGCATTATGCTAAGCGAAATAAGCCAGTCAGAGAAAGATAAATATCACATGATCTCTCTCATTTATGGAATATAATGAACAACATAAACTGATGAACAAAAACAGATGCAGAGACAGAGAAGCATCAATCAGACCATCAAACCTCAGAGGGAAGGTAGGGGAGGGGGAGGGTAAGAGGGAGAGATCAACCAAAGGACTTATATTGCATGCATATTAGCCTAAACAATGGACACAGACACCAGCGGGGGAGGCAATGGAGTGATAAGGACACATATGTAATATTTTAATCCATAAAGAAAAAAAATTAAAAAAGAATCTTTATACATGCAAGAGGGATGCTTAAAATTCTGTAAAAATATATTTGAATTTATGTAATGAGAAGAGCTTCATAAAAAGTCAATGAGATTTTACTACAGCAACCAAAAAAAAACTTCTTCCTTTTCAGGAAAAGGAATGTCACATGCCATCTGGTTTAAATGAACAGTAACTATCCACATATCTTTAAAGAGGATCAAAAATAATACGCTGTCTACCCAACTGGCCAGAGGAAAAACATTAGTTCAAGAGGCTTGGGAAAAAACTTTCAAAAGATTTTATTTGCTTGTCACAATTAATTCAGAAAACCACAGCTAAGATGAACAGCACTATCATATGCTTAATAGAACACCTGTCACCAATAAAAAAATATTAGTAATTCTTGGATGATTTCTGGTAATTCACTACATATACAAATAAGGCACTAAAAATGTGTTTTATGCCAGGTTTTTCTGTGTGCCGAAGATTAAGAAAAAAAAGTTTGGTGTTTTGGGCTAGAGTGATAAAGGAGTTGATAAAGACATGGCTAGAAAGATGTGCAACCATTAGTTAAAGGATAGTGTCAATTATGTAGTCCAAGGAAAACCTTAGTTTCTTTGCAGTCAAAAATAACAAAGAAAAACAAAAACCCATGTTAAATAATCTGGTGTGTACCAGGTTCTAGATTTAAAAAAAAATAAAAAAAATAAAAAGATGGGGGATGGGGAGGGGTCGGAGGGTGGGGTGGGAACCTGGTGGAGGGGGGAAGAAATGAGGAACCTTTGTAATAATATGAACAATAAAGATTGATTAAAAAAAAAAAAAAAAGAAATTACGCCACACTAATTACATAAAAAATATGAAATGACTTAAATTTATTCATATTGCTTTAAAAAATAAAACAAAACCTAGAAAATCCATATGACAAGGGTTCTGACTTGGGGCAGGTACTAAATGAAGGTCACTGGCAGACACTACGGAGAGATAGCCTGTCACACATACTCTACAGTTAAATTCTCAAGGTTTTTCAGAGTGAAGAACTTTTGTTTTCCCCTTTAATAACCACAGACAGAATGATCAGAGGAATGCTGGCCTTTCTGCTAACTACTGGTTAAAAGAAACTCACTATTCCCAGAATGTTTGTTTTCCTCCTCCTCCACAATCTCCTTCCTCTTTTATAATTTCCTGTTTTTGCATGTTTGTGGAAAGCCTAATTCCTTTCTCTGTAATGTGTAATTTGCATGTCGATGATTATCTCCAAGTTATTCTTCTAACATATTAGATCTGAAAGTTACAGAGAACACACTTCAGTAAACTGCAACTTAAATCCTACCATCAAAGTCAACAGACACTGTTAGCCTGACAGAGCACCTCATCTGGATTCAGACCCCTCAAGTCCCCCATTCATCATTCATCTTCCTTGTCTCCTCTGGTGAGTATCATGTGCTGACACAGAGCTCTTTAGCTCTCACATGCTCAAATTGTTTCTTCTTCAAGGCTGGTTCTTCTGTTTCCAAATAGCTGTTAGTTTGTTTTCATTGGTGGCAGCAGTGAAAATCTTTTTGATAAATTTGATTTTGCCAACTTCTAACTAGATTTGATTAAACTGTCTTTCCAACCTCTTCAGGTGGATAACAAGGAGCTCATAATAGAAGCAGAATTTCTAGGAAATAAAACCTCCCGTGTTTCTCCTCTAGTACAATAATGAATATTTACAGATATGTGCTCTGTAAAAAGCAATTCTCGAACTCTCAAGGGACACCAGCTGAGTGTCCTGCAAATCAATCCAGCTCTGATAGTACCTAACTGGAATCAGAGTCAGATCCTACAAAGCAAAGGCTCAATTCCACAAGACTGCTACACTCATCATTTCAGATGCCAATCACAAATCTGTTACTTGTGCTTCTGACCAACTGTCAATAAATCAGAAGGTCCCATGATCCCCTCCTTGATTTGATTAATTTGTGATAGAACTCAGGAAAACAGTTTACTTACTAGATTATCATCTATATAAGCTAATATGCTAAGTGTCTGTCTAACCAGTCGCTATGACACGCACTGACCACCAGGGGGCAGATGTGCAACACAGGAGCTGCAGTAACTTGATAGCAGCAGTTTCCGGTGACCCACCCCAAAACCAGAGAGGAGGAAGCCTGATTCCTCACAGACTGCGAGATTCCACCTTCGGCCATGGGTAATGTTGCTGGGGCACTGTTGGCCCCAAATCTGGTGTTTTGCACACTTGCATTTGTGTTCCAGACTCTGTTGTATGACAGCAACTTTTGCAGAGTGCCCTCTCGTACTCCGAGACCCCTCAGGGGATGTCGGAGAGCCAGTTTCAACCCGATCCCTGCAGGCCAGGCTAAGGGAGTCCCATGTGCCGGAGAGCCCCTGCTCACTCCCGAGATCCCAGGGAGGTACCGTAGGAGGTTGGCTCCAAGACGTGTCCACCCCATCTCACCCAGTCCTACTCCACCAGCCACCTTTTTATTAATTTCCTTTCAATGTGCATAAATCTGTGCACTGGGTCACTAGTTTTATTATAAAAGGATACAAACCAGGAACAGCAAAATGGAAGAGATTCATAGGGAAAGGTACAGTGGGAAGGGGCAAAGGGCTTCCATGCCATGCCCTCCTCCAAGCTCACCATCCTCCCAGCACCTCCAAATGTTCACTAACAAGGAAGCTTGCCCAGTCAGCTCACCACTTCTACTGAGTACTAGAAGTTCTAGCCAGACAATTAGGCAATTAGAAAAGAAAAAGGAAATAAAAAGCATCCAAATTAGAAAGAAAAAAATAAAATTATCTTTTTCACAGACAAGATATTCTTAATATGTAGAAAATTCTAATGATTCTATTCCACATGTATACAAGAATAAATGAATACAGCAAAGTTGTAGAATACAAAATCAACACACAAAAATCAGCTGCATTTCCACAGACTAGCAATGAGCAATCCAAAAAGAATATCTTTTTAAAAATTCCATTCACAATAACGTCAAAGAGAATAAAACATTTAGGAATAAATTTAACTGAAGAGGTAAAATTGCACACGTACACCTACAAACACTGCTGAAAAAAATTTAAAGAAGACATAAGATATAAAAAAGTGAAAAGACATGTTGTGTTCATGAATGAAAGACATTGTTAAGATGACACACTACCCAAAGCAATTTACAGATTCACTACAATCTCTATAAAAATTCCCAAAGCTGTTCGCTGGCCAGTGTGGCTCAGCTGGTGGGGCATCACCCTGTACATCAAAAAGACACTGGTTTGATTCCCAGTCTGGGCACATGCCCAGGTTGCAAGCTTTATTCCCAATTGGGGTAAATGTGGGAGGCAGTGAGTCGATGTTTCTCTCTCTCCCTCTCTTTTCCTCTCTCTCTAAATAAATATTAAAAAAAAAAATTCTAAAAACTTCTTTACAGAAATGTTTATGAATTGGCTTTTAGACCCTCTCTGAGGATGGGGGCTGGTTTCCAGGGGTCCCAACCTTGTGATTAGAACACTGGGACATTCAGTCCCAGGCCTGACCTCTGGGGAGGGGAGAAGGGCTGGAGTTTAAATCACTCACTAATGGTCAATGACTTAACCAATCTTACCTATGTAATAAAACCTCCATAAAAAAAACAGCGGAGGGAAGTCCAAGAGCTTCCAGGTTGGTGAACACATAGATTCGGGAAGAGTGGTGAATGGAAGCTCTATAACCCCTTCCCATACATCGTTCCTTATGCATCTCTTCCATATGCCTGTTCCTTTTATAATAAACCAGTGATCTAATAAGTAAAACGTTTCTCTGAGCTGCTCTAGTAAATTAATTGAACCTGAGGAGGGACTCCAGGGAAACTCTGATTTATCAGTCTTAAGTACAGGTGACAACTTGAACTTGTGACTGACATCTTAAGACTAAGGAGGGGGTTGTAGGAACACCCCATTTATAGCCAATCAGTCAGAAGCACAGGTGACAACCTGGGATTTCCACTGGCAGCTGAAGTAGTGGGGAGGAGGGAGTGGGCATATGAAGTGGGAATAGGGGAAGTGAGCAGTCCCATAGGGCTAAACCCTTAATCTGTGGGATCTGATGCTATCTCAGTTACATAATAGCAATAATCTTCTTCTTGTTCTATAATATATATATACTAATATGCAAAGTGTTCCCTCCGAGTTCAATCAGGAGATGGGAAGTTCTATCACTCTCTATGACGTGCACTGACCATGGAGGCGTGGGGAGGGCCATAGAACGAAGGCAGGCCCTGGCCAGCAGCCAGTAGCCAGGGAAGGAAGGCTGGCAGTCAGGAAAGGCCTAGCTAGGGATCCTACCCATGCACGAATTTCATGCATCAGGGCTCTAGCTTTGTAATAACTATGTATGATGTCAGATGGGTAAATTTAGCAGGATGATCATTTCATAAGTTATATAAATGTCTAATCACTGGGTTGTACACTTGAAACTAATATAATACTGTACATCAACTGTAATTGAAAAATAAACATTGTTTCAAAAAAAATGTCAAAGCCATGAAAGATAAAGATTTAAGAATTGTTTGGACTAAAAGAGAAATCACAACTAAATCCAATACGTGATCCTGAACCAGAAACAATTCTTTTACTATGTAAAACATTAATGATAATTGATGAAATTTGTCTGTATATAGTAGAATTGTATCTATGTTCATTTAGGAAATACACAATAAAGTTTTTAGAGGTTAAAGACATAAGATCTGCAATTTACTCACAAATAACTTGGAAAAAGACAAGAACACTGTATGGAGAGAGAGAATGATAAAGCAAATGTAATAAATATTAACATTTGGGGAATTTGAGAAAGATATACAGGAATTCTTTATACCATTTTTACAACTTTTCTTTAAAAAATATACATAGTCCTGTTTCTGGCTCAGTTGTTAGAGCATCAGCCAGCTGACCAAAAGGTATTGGGTTCAAGTCCACGTCAAGGGCATGTACCTGGGTTGCAGGCTCAATCCAGGGTAGGTGTGGGTCAGGACTCATATGGGAGACAACCAATCGATGAGTCTCTCTCACATCGATCTCTCTCTCTCACCCCTGTCCCTTCTTCCCTTCCTTCCACTCTCTTTAAAAAAAAAAAAAAAATCAATGGAAAACTATCCTCAGGATTAAAAAATAATAAATAAAAACAAATATAAAGACACACAATAAGTAAAAAAAAAAAAAAAAAAAAAAAAATGAAGCCAGTTCAGAGAAATCATTTTCCCTAACAACAATGCTAGAATCATCCTTACTACATTCTACTCATTAGATCATAAAATTTTAGAGCTGGAAGAAAAATGTACTCTCTTTCTCACCAAAACTTCTCCATTTTCAGATAAAAGCAATGAAGTTAAATGCCTTGCTCAAGATCACAACTATTTCAAGTCAGAGTCCATACTATTATCTTGCTCTGACTCAGCTCTTTCAATTATGACAAGCTATTTCTTGATATCAGTATATTGTCATCTACCCCTAAACATGATACCAAAACATTTAGCTCTATCTTTTCATATATTCTAAGAAGCTCATGCAACAAACCACTCTCAGGCAATCAAAATTTAATTTTAAAAAGGCACTTAAGTATCACTGTTCCTAACAATCTTTAATAATTAATATTGATAAGTATGTTGAGTTCAGAATTCATGCCAAATACTGTAGTAATGCTAAAAATTAACCCATTCTACTGTAAGGTGACACTGTTAGGTCTATGATGATAGAGACCCAAATCTGTATTATTCATCATTATAACCCCATCTCTTAGGATAGTGCCTGGCATACAATAAATAATCTAATAATAGACTATTGCTGAATTAAAGACCATCTACAGTACAGAAATATAACTGTGTTTGCAGATAATCATAATACACAGTATTAACACAGTGTCATGAGACAATAGATTAGGAAGTTATTTTTACTTGGTGAGAGCTACAAAGGCTTCAGAAATTTAATGGCATCAAAGTTAAGCTTTGTAAGACAAGTAAGATTTCGACAGACATAGAAGTAATGGGATGGAGAAAGAAGGGCAGGGGGAGTTAAATTAAACAGCCTGAAGACAAGATAATATTTGACAATTCTATTGATTTTTTAAACACAGGCTTACCTATTGTTGCTGCAAGTTCTGGATCAAAAGTATCATCTGTGAACCTCAAGAGCAGGCTAAAAGAGATGTTAAAAAGACAGATTAAGTCTCTCAACAAAACAAATTAATTTTTAAAAAAATATGATGTGTAATCCACTCTGAATTTAAATAAAAACAGGAAGGTGTGAATGTCTAGCATTTTGTAATACACAGTATGAGCACTACCTAAGTGGGATAAAAGGATATACTAAAAAGTGAGGACAGACGTCCAGAGTACATATATTCTGGCAAATGATATGCAGGGTATGTGAAATCAAGTAGGCAATAGGGAGCTACTGAAGAGTTTCAAAGAAAGGAAAGGCAAGAACTGCTCTACATTTTGAAAAGTTATGCCAGCAAAGAAAAAAAATCAACAGAAGACAACTGCCATGGTTATGATGAAATTAATGAAGAATTAAACTAGGAAATGGTTAAGAAATTAAAAAGGAAAGGGTGTAATGAAAGCAGAAGATACCAGTTTAGAAGAATAGTCTAAGATTTTTACACCTCTTAAGATTATTTTATTTGATAATAGAGACCTGGGGCATGAATTCGTGCACTGGGTATGGGGTTCCCTCAGCCCTGCCTGAGCCCTCTAGCAGTCCAGGACCCCTCAGGGGATGTACCCCTCAGGGGATGTCCGCCTACCAGTGGGGATCAGGCCTAAACTGACAGTCAGACATCCTTCTCACAGTGTGGGGCTCTCACAGTCCAGGACCCCTCACTTCTTACCACCCACCTGCAGTGGATGCGCCTGGCTTCTGGCTGAGCGACACTCCCCTGAGGGAGTCATAGGGCATCAAAGTGACTGGTTATTCTGACATTCGGTCTATTTGCATGTTAGGGTTTTTTTATATAGGATAAAGTAGAAGGGTCTGTTATTAGAAGCTCTTCAAAAGTAAAGCCTAAGTTTTCGTTAAAGCCTAGATTTATATAATTAATCTTCCTTCACATTACCTACTAAAGTAGGACAAGACTGTTCTATTGACCTGCTTGCATTAATAAAATCAAGGCAACAGATATCAGATGTCTGAGTTGTACAAAAATATTTCTATAGGCTGCAATTATTGCTGTTAGAGAAATTTTTTTTTTTGTCCACAGAGTATATCGCAAAACATAATTCCTAAACCCAGTATCATTGATTATATTTGAAGGATTAACTGTCCTTTTCTTGATTTTGCTTTCTTGTGTTTACCATAAAAATCAGCACCACAAAAGCAAAGAGTCAAATTGTAGATTTTTCTACTTAACATTGAACTCACTTGACTATAACTATTTTTACTTACTTTCAACATGAGTTAGGTCAGAGCAGTAATTAAAAATCTTAAAAGACTATTTACAAAAACTTTAAATAATAAAAGTGAAAATGTCATTAAAATTTTCAGTTATCCATAATTTAGGATTAGAAAAGGTATCTGTCTATACTTGGTCACCACAAAAAATATCATTTCAAGAACACAGGTTAACATAGCCTTATACAGCAACAGTAGTAGTAATAATTACAATACCTGAATAATATAAATAACAATGGTATTGGCTATTATTTACTGAAGGTAGACGATGTGCCAGAACAAGGAGCCAGGGGTTTTTCTTATGTTAATTACTAATCCTTACAATATCCCTTGTCTTCAATGATACTTTGTCAGGAAAGGCAAGGAATTAGTATGGTATAAAGCAACAAATTTTTAAAACAGACTCATAATATAAATCAGCAGATTTTAGCCAGGGATACACTGGTAGCTCAAAATGCATCCAAAATTCTATGCATGCATTCTTATAGGCAGAGTCCATGTCTCTATTGGATTTTGAAAGAAATCCACATCTTGAAAATGATTAAGAACCAGTGCTCTAAAGAATGTATGTCTACTAGTAAGCTTTCATATTTTCATAAAAGAAGCAAAACACTCTCATTCATGCAGAGCTAAAGATGGAAGGAGTAACTACACCACTCCGCTAAGAGGAGATCAAATTTATAATAAATAGTGTGATTATAACTAATCTGAATTCTTCAACTTGCAAATTAAATTAGCCAAAAAGGATAGAATACAAGGGACATAGGAGGGATAGCAATTTGGATAATAGATTTCTAGAATCCATTCTAGTCTCTGAAACACTTTTCAACTTTATTTCACCCTGGCTAGCCCTAGAATCAAAGAATCTTATACATTTAACATTAAATAGGGTTTGAGAGATTTCTATTCCAACTTCATTTTTCATTTTTTTGAATATATTTTATTGATATTTTACAGAGAGGAGGAAGGGAGAGAGATAGAGAGCCAGAAACGTTGATGAGAAACATCGACCAGCTGCCTCTGTGTCTGCAACCAATGTACATGCCCTTGACCGGAATCGAACCTGGGACCTTTCAGTTTGCAGACCGCGCTCTACCACCGAGCCAAACCGATTTTGGCCCAACTTCATTTTTCAAATGAATAAATTAAAGTCTAGAATGTTGAAGTATCACACACAAGGTCACACTAAGTGACAGCACTAGTCTCTTAATCCTAATCTCCTGGCCACTAACATACATGTTCATTATACTGCAAGAGTCAAAAATAAACTGAAAATTTAACCCACTAATTTGAATTAGTTAAGATATCCTTTGTTGTGCAATGATTTCTTAACAACACAAGTGATATCTCATTTACACTAACTCTAAATCTCTAAGGAAATATACATGAACTACTGATTAAAACAAGCCTTTAAGCTTATACCCATGACATGTTTTTGTACTAACTCACCTTAAAAAGCATAGGCTCCCATTTTAGTAGTTATTTATTCTCATTTTATCCAGAAAGATAAGTGTTGTTTTCCATTACACATCACAGATACAATAATGTATATCTAGCTAGAAAAAATAAACCAGCTTTCTTCCTAAATGCAATCCTTCCTTGAAAGAGACAGTTGAAAGTGTTAAAACTTTGTAGTGAGCAATTGATAACTCACCACGAAGTACTGAGAAAAATTTTGGGAGCAGATTAGATCCAAGTAAGTTTGTATGAGAGAAGGGAACCAAATAAGCCAATAATTACACTTAACAAATTTTACTCTAGAGGGAGAACCACAATTACATAAACACTGTACTTCGAGTTAACCTTCCAGAAAATTATAACACAGCTTAACTAGTCATCTATCCAATACATTTAGAAGTGTCAACCAACCATATATTATTGTAGGTTGGACCACATGAAATGTTATTCAACTACTAATGACTTCAAAATCAGCAATTTCAGAGGCCTTAACTTAAATAAGGGTCAGATCTCAAGGAAAAAAGAAAGGTTACAGGGCTATGGAATTCCTTTAAGACAATATTCAATATGTTAACTAACTTCTTAGTGCTCAAACATAATAGATGGTAATCACAAAATTAATTTATTCAACCCTAAAACACACACACACACCATACTTTTTGGTTAGCCCACAGTGTTTCAGGAATGTATTCCTTATGTGCAAAGTCCCTTATTCCAATATACACAGAGTACATTAAATGAGGAAAACTATGAAAATGTGTTGTCATACTTTAAAAATATAAAAAAATTTCAGAATGTATTACAGAATAAGATGTCAACTTTAGGTATCTAAAAAAGTAAGACTTTATGAAGTAACTTCAAAGGTAAGTTTATCAGGAGGTACTGCTAAACTGTGAAACTGCTTACCACCCCTGGAATTTGAATATTGTTTAAAGATCAAGGCGCCCTAGAATATAACCTATTCACAATCAAATGGCAAGAATAACTTCACCGGGAGAACTCTGTTCTAAGACCTGGATGAAATCACTTTCCTCTTGTAACACCCACCCAGCTCCACGTCTTACTTTATACTCAGCTCTAACAGCTGTCAGTGTGATTTCCCCAAGAAAGAGTCATGAAAGAAAAGGCACACACTTACTTGTTCTTCTACCTCTGTACGGTGCGGCAGAATGAGAACCAACCGTGGGCTCTATCATCTTAGGGATTTACTCAAGTAGTCAGAAGACCAATGAGTTCTTTCCCAGCTCACTCAAGATTTTATATATATAATATATATATAATATATATATTATATATATATATATATATATATATATATATATATATAGAGAGAGAGAGAGAGAGAGAGAGAGAGAGAGAGAGAGAATATATGCAAAAATGGGTGCACCAAAATAGGCCAAGAATACGACCTAAGGTGCCACGAAACTTCCCGCGGAAGAACGTATTTAGACGAAGCCCAGAGAAATCCCAAAGTGATCAAATTACAACGCTTAGCTCGCGGGTGACAGGGGCCTGGACAACATCTCGCGCGGCAGGACTCGGGCCTAAACTCGGCCGGACTTGGGCCCGAACCCGCCCGCCACGCCCTGTGCTCCAGCAGCAAACAGCCGGCCGGGCTTGTTTTCTGGGTGAGACCGCAGGGAAGGCGATCCACACAACCCGGGCCTGGCAGACCCGGACCGGGCGGCGCGGGGCGCAGGGGCCCCGGGACCGGGAGCTTCGGGCCCCCGCGGGGCGCGAGCCGCGCCGCCGCCGGCGACCGTCCGTTCGCGGAGGGCCCGCGGCCGCGGAGGCGGAAAGGCCCCGCCGCCCGGCCCGGCCCGGCCCGCGGCCCGCCTCACCTGGACTTGCCCACGCCGCTCTCGCCGATGATGAGGATCTTCAGGGTGGTCAGCACGTCCTCATCCATCCTGAACTCCGTCGGCTCCGAGCCCGGCCGCCCCTGTCTGGCCCTCGTCTGGCCCCTGAGCTCGCGCACTGCTCCGCGGCCGCCACCTTCCTTTCTCTGGGATACGGGAATTGCTGGAGCCCTACTTCCGCCTGGAGGCCGTTCTGCGGCTGCGCAAACCGGAGTCACCCGCGTCTCCTGCGCAAGCGCACCTGGGGGAAGCCGAGTGAGGGCTCACTGACTGCTCAGGCTCTTTCTGCTCGCCAGCCCAACTCTAACCCTGCTTCCTGGTGGACTGAGTTAGGGGAGTGTAATAATCTATTCAAACTTCAGCCCTAGCTGGTTTGGCTCAGTGGATAAGGCGTTGTCCTGCAGACTGAAGGATCCCTATTCTGATTCCTGTCAAGGGCTCATGCCCAGGGTGGGGGCTTGATCCTCTGAAGGGGGCATGCAGGAGGCAGCCTATCAATGATTCTCATTATTGTCTCTCCCTCCACCCTTCCCTCTTTCTTTCTCTTTCCCCTTTCTCTCTGAAGTTAATTTAAAAATGTTTTTAATAAAAATAAAGAACAAAGTAAAGAAAATAATTATTTTTATAAATACATAAGTCAACTAGTAATAGGTTTATTTTTTAAATGAATGAACACATATATTTAAATTTTGGAATAAATATTAACAACATAGCCACATACCAGCTCTTTAGAGTCCTCAATATTTGTAAAAGTATACAATAATTTGTACAACAAAAGAAGTTTAAGACTGTTGCGTGGTACTATTCACAACAAGATTAAAAAATTAAAAATAAAAATTGAAGAACCAGGTCTGGATTTATTCTCCCATAAGTGGGTTCTCTTTTCATTTTGCTGATAGTCTCTTTTGCTGTGCAGAAGCATTTTGTTTTTATATAGTCCCATTTGTTTATTTTCTCCTTAGTTTCCTTTGCTCTAGGAGATGTATCAGTAAACATATTGCTATGTGAGATGTTTGAGATTTTACTGCCTTTGTTCTCTCTAAGATTTTTTTTATTGTTTCATGCCTTACATTTAAGTATTTTATCATCTTGAGGTTATTCTTGTGTATGGTGTAAGTTGGTGGTCTAGTTTCATCTTTTTGCATGTGTCTATCCAGTTTTCCCAACACTATTTGTTGAAGAGACTATCTTGACTCCATTGTATGTTCTTGCCTCCTTTATCAAATATTAATTGAATGTAATGGTGTGCGTCACTTTCTAGGGTCTCTATTCTGATCCATTGATCTATATGTCAGTTCGTGTGCCAATACTAGGCTGTTTTGGTTATAATGGCTTTGTAATATATTTTGATATTCAGTTTTGGGATCCCTCCTATTTCATTCTTCTTTCTCAAGATTGCTGTAGCTATTCAGGGTCTTTTATGGTTCCATATAAATTTTGGGGTATTTTTTCTATCTCTGTGAAGTATGCCATTGGTATTTTAATAAGGATTTCATTGAGTCTATAAATTGCTTTGGGTAGTATAGACATTTTAATGATGTTAATTCTTTCAATCCATGAACGTGGTATATGCTTCCATTTGTTTGTATCTTCCTCTGTTTCTTTTTTCAATGTCCTATAGTTTTCCAAGTACATGTGTTTTATCTCCTTGGTTACCTTTATCCTAGGTATCTTATATTTTTTATTGCAATAGTAAATGTGATTGCTTTTTTAGTTTCTCTTTCTGTAAGTTCATTATTGGTCTATAAAAATGCTATTGATTTGTGGATGTTGATTTTGTATCCTGTTACCTTGCCAAATTCATTTATTAAGTATAGTAGTTTCTTGGTGGAGTCTTTAGGGTTTTTTATATACAATATCATGTCATCTGCAAATAATGACAGTTTTACTACTCCTGTTAAACTTGGATATACTTTTTATCTCTTATTCTTGTCTGATTGCTATGGCTGGGACTTCCAGTACTATCCTATATAATAAAAGTATAATATGCTGTCCAATGGTTCATTTGACACTTCATTTGTCATAGCTTCCACCAGTTGCTATGACATGCACTGACTACCAGGGGGCAGATGCTCTGGTAGGTTAGGGGCCTGTGGTGGTTCGCAGGCCGGCCGCACCCCCCAGTGACCCAAGTGGAGACCCTGGTATCTGGGATATATTTACTTTCTACAGTTGAAACTTTGTAGCATGGATCTGAGCCAAGCCTCCTGCTAGCCCCATGGTGGCAGCCCTTTCTGTTTGGATTTGTTTACCTTTTTTAATTGAAACTTTGTAGCCTTGAGTGGAGGCTTAAGCCAGCAAGGGCAGCCAGAAAGCTTGGCTTCCTCCCTTGCCAGGGAAAACACCTCCCTCCTGCTCTCTATGGCTGTAGCCATCTTGGTTCGGTTTATTTGCATACTCACTCTGATTGGCTGGTGGGTGTGGCTTGTGGAGTGCAGTGATGGTTAATTTGCATATTACTCTTTTATTAGGTAGGATGATGATATGCCATTCATAATTCTTGGTATATATGGAGGGAATTGTCAGGATTCATCCAAAACCATTTCTTAACCCAGTTATATTGTCAAAGGAATATCCATTTAGGAATAGGCTACCAACCTTCTCTCAACCCTAAAACTATGATTGGCTAGCCCAGCGCCACATCAAAATTACTTACCCTGTTGCTCTCACTTAAGGGTGCTTATGTTAAATATGTCACAGTTCCAGTACCAAAAAAGAATCAAAAAATACACAACTTGGCAAGTCTTGACCCATACCTATCTATCTTTTATCTAGAGTACTTGAGAACTCCATGTCCTATGGGTACACCAAGCCAGATGGCTGGAACCTGCTTCCAGCTTCATTCCTGCCAACCTTTTTTCCAGTGGGCTGGATCTTGTTCTTCCTTTTCTCTAGTTCTGAGATAATTCTTAGAACTACCTGGCTTTGTAACTAACCTTTCCACTATCCTGTTCCAAAGCAAGTCTGTGTCCTTCTCCTTTAGATTAGGTTCTCCTTGTTGATAAACTGGACTGAATCTGCCCACTTTTGCTATTTTGGTCTTCACTGGTAGAATAATTCTCCCATTTGCTATTTATAACTTTAGTATCGGCTTTCTCCCTCAATGCATTAACTAGCTAAGAAAAAATAAAAGAGAAAGATGCAAATTGACTGTACCTTTATGACGTCATTCAGGAGTGAGTATGCAAATTATCGGGGCAAAGATGGCGGCGGCCACAGAGCTAGCCAGAGTGAGTGGGAGGCTTGGGTTAACCCTGGCAACCAAGGAAGCCAAGCTTCCCACCCGCCTGGGCCTGCTAACAAAGGAGGGGCCTGTAAACGGAGGACACGGAGCTAGCCAGGGCCTGGTCACCCCTAACTGTCCTCTCCTGCAGGCTTGATTGCCCCCAACTGCCCGCCCTTGCAGGCCTGGTCCTTCACAACTATCCTCCCCAGCTGGCCATCTTGTGGTGGCCATCTTATGTCCATACGAGGGCAGCCATCTTGTGTGTTGGAGTGATGGTCAATTTGCATATTGCTCTTTTATTAGATAGGCTGCTAAGATATAACTTGATGATTTTGGTAAATTATTCCTTTATATACTGTATAATTCTATTTTCTGACATTTCATTTATGAGTTTGCATATATAAATATATTCCTAAATGAAACTTATTTATACTTTCCTGTAAGTCACTTTTACTTCGAGATAGAGCACAGCAGGGATTGTTCTAAGATAATCATAGATTAAAGCATACAGGCACTTTTTTTGTGGAAGGGCTGATCGTGATAGTTATCTGTTGTTTCTAATCACCCCAAATCTATTTCTTCTTCTTAGCATGCATCTAATTTCCTTGGAAAACACTTTCCTTAATGTCATTTGGGGAAAACTGATACCTTTTCACACCAATTCCAAGAGGTGGCACATAACCATTGCCTAGCTAATCAGCTCACTTCTTCAGTTAAAATGATTTAATTCATGAATGGGCACATGATTCAATGGGATGAAATTATAGAACTCTGACTAAAACTGTCAGGAGAAGTGCATGTTATAAGAGATGCTGAAAGGTTCTCTAGCTATCATCAGTAAGGAATCTGGACAAGAACAGAATCCAGAGGAAAAAAGGAGAGCCAACATATGGATAAAGAGAGCTCCTGACAAATTGCTCCTCTGGATAGAGCTAGTTGCTCTCATTTTTTTATGTTTTATGAGCCAATAAATTCCCTTTTGAAAGTGTCAATGTAAGAATATTCAAACCTGTAGAGAATATTTGTGAGTTTATTTGAGTCAAACTGTAGACAACTGACAGGAAGCAAAATTTCAACGTATTGAGATTATGCTCCAGGAAATGGCAGGTTTGCATCTTATTTTATACATCACAATCAAAAGAAAAGATGTAAGTGGGCTACATGAACTCTATTGGTGATAGGTTGGAAAGATGTGAGAAAGCAAAGTGGGGAAAGTTCTGAGATTGGATAAAAAGTAAAATTATAAATATATGGACATAAGTGAGTACAGGATAGTTAACAGTCAATAATTAATTCAATAACAAATAACAACCAGGGGATTTGTGGTCTTTGTTCTGTTGCAGTACCTGTGCTTTGGGTATTCCAGAAAAAGAAAATTAATTTGACATTCCAAAAGTTTATCATTGTAGAAGCATAAAAAAACAACAGACAGGCTTAATTAAGGTAAAGACTGACTTTATTCAGGGAAGATTTTAGCTTAGGACATGTCTACCTGCCATAAACTGCTATTAGTTTGTAAATGTTAAATTCAGACCATTCTTTATGTTACTTTAGGTTTATGAGCTTGTAAGGCCACCATGCAGGCCTCTCCCAAGATTGTCAGGTTTAGCATATGGCTCCTTTTGGTCCACAAAAAAAAAAATGAAATATTTGAAATATACAGGTCCAAATAGAGAATAATAATATGATGAACACTTTGTTTTGTCAAATATGTTAAGAATCATACTTTAGATGTTTTTAATATAAATCACTAAACATTAAAGACATCTGAGACATCCTGTGTGCTCCTGCCTGATATCTCCTCACCCCAGAGATGTCAGAATT